TTTTTTTTTTTTTTTTTTTTTTTGGTACCGGGGATCAAACTTGGGTCCTTGTGCCTGTGAAGCACCACTGAGCTAAATCCCTGGCCCACCTTTTCCTCTCTGAATTGTGCACGTCAGATATCTTGTCCCAGTAAGGGAAAACTGACCAGTGCAGCATCTTACTCACGGAGGTAAAATTGTCTCATGAGCGGCTGAGCAGGGAAAGAGTGCCCAGCCAAGGAAAAGGCATAGACACAGCACCAGAGGCTGGAGAAGGAAGACAGTTTGGGAATTGGATTTGTTATTTTCCCTAGTCTTGCTAATCAAGGGCCTGCAGGGAGGTCCTGTCCTCTCTCTGCAGGAGGATCCTCCACATGCCCAAGCACAGGTGTGCTGGTCTTGATGATTTTCTTTTTAAAATCTCTCAGTGTTGCACTAACAAAGAACTTTGTGACTCTGCCAGCCCGGTTACATCGTGCTGACCTAACCCTCTGGTCCACTGCCATGCTGCTAACTCACTCACCCCCTGGCATGACACCACGGACACGAACACCTGAGGAACCAGCGCCACATCAGGGTCTGCAGGCAAGGTTCCCCCCAGGGATCCCAGGAGGAGGCATCAGCCTGGGAGACACATCAAGTCTGTCACATTCGCACAGATATTGGCCCCTGGCTATCAAGGACCTGGAGTGATTTTTTCAGCTGTGAAGGAAGAGTGGACCAGGCACTTACAGATCCTGAAGCCTGTCTCCTAGAGCCTCAGAGAAGAGGGAGAATAGCAGGCTCTGTCTCCTCACACCAGGGCTTCTGAACAAGTCCCTCAAATATCTGCGATGCCTATCCAGGGCTCAGAACACTGTCCCGGGTGGATCTCCATAGAAGACATCTGTCCCCTCCCCTCCAAAAGGGCCATCAGAGCTGCTGTTTAGCAGGCAGTTCTATGCAGGCCCATGGGAGCCTAACTCTGTATGGCAGTTAGCTCATTCCTGGTGAGCTTGGGCAGACCTTTAAATTTTCTGCACCTCAGTTTCTGCATCTGATAAACGGATCCTGCAGCTGCTTTCCAGGAGCAGCGTGAGAATGGAATGGGTTGCAAAATGTGTGGGGTAAAAGCAGCTAAGTTGTCCCTGGGCCATCGTGGGAGCCACTGCATTCTGCACAAGGCAAGCGTCCACCGCACCAGGCCTGCCTGGCCCTCTCTGCCTTCATAGATTTTGTCTCCAGAGTCCACCTGAGTGCTGGCTCAGGGAATTGTGGTGCATCGGTCTTAGGTCGGGGACCAGGAGAGCACTGTCCCTTTACCAGCAGGAGAGATGATCAGTCTAGAAAAGAGTGGATAATTCACGACTTAAATAGAGCAAAGCGCTGAGTCAGGAAGCCCAGCCCGGTGGACAGCATCGCTTTCCCGAGTGTTTTCCCCGCTGAATCATCCACCAGCTCATCTCCATCCGGATACCTGCTTAGAGACAGGTCTCCCTTCAGCACCAGGCGAGCCAGCTCATCGGCTCCATCAGTAGCCACTTCGGTTGATGGAAAACCTTGTGGCCCTGCGCCAGCAGCACATAAAAGTAAATAAAAATTGCAGTGCGGCTCTGAAAGAAACAGCAACACTGTATGGCTACATTACAATATTTATGCCCTCAGACTTTTAGACATCCATTACCCACCGTATGTTAATAAGAATGCTAAACTGACCTTGACCAGGGCACGGAACTTCCAGAGCCCTGCAAAACAATTCTGTCCTCCCACACACCTTCCGGTGCGGAGAACTGAACCCCGAAACTGACGTGCAGGGGTCTCACGACCCCTGCCAGTGATTGCTCAGTTTGCGAGGTTGGCAGACTGCCTCACCCCTCCAGCCTCCACCTCCCCTTCCATGCGCTGTAAGCAAAGGTCACAGAGATCATCAGCAAAGACCGAGCCTGGATTTTAGTATGTGAACGTGCCCACTGCTGGGCCCTCCGACCTCCTGAGAGTCTGCGGGGGGTGGGCGGCTTTGCTGTGGTCACAGAATGCGCGTGACTCTGCCGCTGAGGCCCTGTGCTCTCCTGTGAGACCCAGTGTCCCTCAGCGGTGCTTCTAAGACGTGAACCTACCCTTGGTCTACACTGAGAAAAGCTGAAACTGTTTCTCATCCCCCGCAGAATGGGCAGCCCTGGACCTGGACTTGGAATGACTTCCACCGCCTTCCCAGTGCCATCCTGCTACCCGCCCCCCGTTTCGCTTCCCCTGCACAAGTCGCTTTCTTCCAAGCCTCCATAATTTTCCCATCGGCAGCTCTCCGTCCCTACAGGGTTTCTCCCGCTGCCTCACAATTCACCCGTCTTTCCACGCCCAGTCTGAATGTCTTCTTCTAGAACAGTCTCCAAGTGAATCACTGCGCTGTTACCGTCTGCGTGGTTGTCTCCCCGCCTGACTTGGCGGTCTGTCCTGGCTTCTTTTCCAGGACACCTGTGCCTGTGAGGGCTCAGGTGTGGCCACACGATTCACTCATCTGCCTGATGCACCTCACTGCAGCATCAGGCTTCTTCTCTGGCCGGGGGAGATTGTAAATATTTAAACAAACAGGGTTAAAATGGGGGCCAAGTACCAAATGGATGTGAAATTTTAACTCAACAAAAGTCCAGTGGTTCTGCTGCCTGGTTTGCAAGCTCAAAGGCCCGAGTTTGATCCCCAATACCAAAAATAAGCCCTGAAACAACATCCAGGGAAACAATGACAGAACATTCTAGATGCTGGTGGTGGTGCCACCAACCAGCACCCCATGCCACTTCCCTCCCTGTCCCCCTTCAGCCTCCTGGACCGTCTGAGGCTCCATGTCAGGACTTGAGATGCCCTGGAAGCCACAACTGGTCTTGTTCCTCACTGATGTGCCCATTGCCTGGCACATAGTAAATGCTCAATAAATTTTCATTTACTGTTTGGTTAGGTGGCTAGACAATGGATGCACAGTTTAACAGCAGTAAACTTTACAGAAATAAAAAGATTTCCCATCAAATCTCAAGGTCTTTTCTCCCTCTCACTCACCAAACTGCCTTTCATACACGCAAAGTACCACAAACTGTCAGTGTAGGACGCTGGGCTCCAAAAACTTGAATCTCTAAAGGGCTGGGGTGACATGGGTCCCTGTTTTGCCTCAGCTGAATGAGAGGAAAAACCCCAAGCTTCCTGAAGTTGAGTCCCAGCCCTCCCTTCCTGAAGGTGCCTCCAAGGCAGGTGAGATGTTCAGCCAGGAAGAAGTGTGACCAACTGCCTGAGGTGAGCCACCAATGAACCAGAAATCGAACACCAGAAGGTCTGGAGCAACCTGGGTGGCAAAACTTGCTGGGTCACTGGCGAAAGTTGGTGAGGAGAAAGGGACGTGAAACCCACATTCCAAAGGAGGCGAGGGTGGAGCCCCGCAGCTAAGCCTCTTTGCTCCCGCCCCCCCTCCAAACGCACTCCTAGACCTGGAAATCAGAGCCAGCGAATCCAGAAGCTACCCAGCCTCACAGAGTGAAAATCTAAAGCAAAACTGCTTAAAGTTGAAAGTAGCTGGGCAGATTAGGCTTAGTGCAGTACTCACAGGAACGAGGAATAAACAGCTTCCTGCCCCTCTCTGCCTGTGCCTGCCAACTCTGTCCCTCCCCGAAGGCCAAGCCAAGCTGGACTCTGCCCCATCCCTCTCTCCGCCTTCTCCCCAGCTGGACTCCACAACCTCACTTCACCTCTCCACCTCCTGCCCTCCACAGCCACTGCCCAGGGCAAGGTGGCCACCTCCTCTCTCCTAGATGCCAGCAGAGGCTCCTCTGGGACCTCTGCAGCCAGGGCCACTCAGTCCCTCTTTGGCCAGCAGCAAGCTTGTCTCAAGCTGCACACCCGCCCCCCCTTCACCTTCTCCGCTTTCGTGTGCTGAAAGCCTGCAGCCCTGACTTTGACCTTGGAAGGCTCTTCCCTTCCACCAAGCTCCTCTCTGCCTCCTTCTCCTCCTCGCTCTGCACTCCAGACACAGCCTCCCTCCAACTGCCAGGGGGCACGGGCCTGTCATCTAGGGTTCCGCTGTCCGCAGAGCCTTGCAGATTGTGCTGCTGTAAACCTCCGCTCTTCCCTGGGTCTCCCTGACCTCTCCCTCTTCCCCTTCCCTCTGCTCTTGCTGCTGTGTATATATTCCCATCCCACGGATCATTTTCACCCCTGTATTTCCTTCATGGTAAACGTAAAGCCTCATGAGAGCGATGATCGTGCCTGTTTTCTCTCCCTTCGTCACACGTTTGAGCAGTCCCTGGCACACTGCACACATCTGATAAACATCTGTCAAAGGAACTAGTGCCGGAAACATCTACCGGGCCATGGCAATGGCGGCTGATGAGGCCGCAGACGCAGCCTTGTCAGAAGCTGAATCTGAACATTACTTATCCTGTGGTGTCAAAGCCCACAGAGATGGACAGGAGCGGCCGTCCCCTCTGCTGAGGCTGGAGCCTTCCTACTAGGTATAGCATGTCATTGTGTAAACCAGCACTCTGACAAACGCCCACAGGACCAAGCTTGCTCGTGAACCCTGTCCTGCTTCCCACCAGTCTGCCCTGAGCCAAGCATATCCTTGAGCTGTGCCATTTGTCCTGGGTGCACTAACTGCAGATCTCAAGCCTCTGGGGGCCAGACGGGCCTCGTGACTCGTAAATCTTTCCAGGAACACAGTCCCCTCCCAGGTAGGGCCTCGACAAGATGCCCTTCTGCCCTTAGGGCAGGGCAGCTTCAAGAAAGATGGGATTAACAGCTTTGTAAATCCTGAGAGCAGAGATGACTGAGTTCTCTGCATTTTTGTCTCTTGCACAGCACTGAGGCCCTGCTTATCTCAGTGTCATCTAAACTGAACTGACACAGAAGACCTCACGAGATGCTACAGTGATGCTCAGTCAACTGAAGCAATCAGTCAAACAACTGTTACTTGTCAAGCCCTGGTCATGGTATCACCTGTTTCCTCCTTGTTCTCCTCTCTCCTCCCTCTCTCTCTCTCTCTCTCTCTCTCTCATGCATATGACGCATGTGCATGAGGCATTTTCAGTCTGTTTAGACTGATGAAACAAAATAACATAAACTTGATCGTTTATAAACCACAGAAATCCATTGCCCATGTTCCTGGAGACTGAGACCTTCAGGATCAGGGTGCTAGCAGAGTCACTGTCTGGAGAGGACCCACTCTCTGGTTCAAAGACATCACCTTTGTGCAGTGTCCTCGCATGGAGGAAAAACAGAAGAGTGGCCTTGTGGGCTGGTTTATAAGGGTGTTGATCCCATTCATGAAAAAGCCTGGGTTTAACCCCCAGTACAGTGAGGAGGGAGGGTTAGGTGCAGGGAGCAAGAATCATGAGACCTGTTCACCAGACCCAAGGAACTCAAACTGTACTTTCCAACTCCCAGTAGCTATAAGGATAATGATTCCATGGTGATAATCTATCACTTAAATATCACTCAATAATCATACTCATTTGGCTCATTTTGAGGCGGGAGATCAGGGCATGGCAGAGTGGCTGGACAATCAGGCATGACTTGTCAATCACGGAGACCTGTCTATCAAGGCCAGGGTGCACGCACAGAGCCAGTGCACCAGTAGGCACTGATCTGACACCGGAAGGAGGATATAAAAGGCAGCGGGCACCAATGGCCTCTGATCTCTCACTCTTACGTGTTTTCTCTTCTCTTCAGGGCAGTTCTTTGGAGGATGTCCCTTCCACTTCTTTTCTTCCTCTTTTACCATTCATTAATAAGTGTTAATTTTTACATATGTACTTCATTTGTCCCATCCAATTCTTAGAACAGGAGAATGACCACCTAGAAAGGACCACCAGGTACCACAACATCCAGTAATGGCTGGAGTCCAACAATCTTTATCTCCACAGAGCAAGAATGAGGACTTATACAATGTAAATGTCTTGCCCAAAGTCATCTGGCTAATTAGTAGGAAAGCCAAGATAAAAGCCCAGCCTTATTAAACATAAGGCCTCTTCTGTATGGTTTTGTAACCAGTGCCCTAAAAGCTTAGTTAGAAAAATATCATCCCGAGTCACCAAGTCTCAAAGTAAAAATGGCAGCCATGTCCGGTGAGTTGAGAAGCACTGGCCGGCTGTCACCTGCCAGTGAAGGAGAAAACATGGCGGCACTGCCTCCGGAGTGCTGAGAGACGTCAGCTTCCCAAAGGTGGGTGCAGAGTCCTGGCCGTGTGAGGACAGATTGTCTCTGGATGGCAGGACACCATGCTAAATGCAAATTCCATGTCTCTCAGCGTACTGGGCCAGGGGCACCTCGAAGCCATCAGTCAACTGAAGCCAGCAAGTGCCACTTGTATTTGAACCAGTGGTCTACTCAGGGAAGGAAAGCCCACCTCTGAGAGTGGCTAAGAACACTGCTTTCCACAAGGGATCGAGAAGCTCCCAGGGAAGAAAACAGATGTCCTTGTTCGGGTTCAGGAGGTTTTTAAAGTGCAGTATTTGGGCTCAGCAGATGCTGCTCAGGTAACTGTGGTCTTGAAGAGAACCAGCTACCAGGTGGACTGATGGGACTGCCCCACCGAGACCTTCCTGAACCACTTCCAACACACTCGCCTCTCACCGGGGGTGCTGCAGCTGCCACACAGAGGACAGAAAGTGCCCAGTGGAGATGCTCAAAGCCAGTGCTGGCAGCTGCTGCCTTCCTGACAGGGGCAGCACAGGCCTGAGCCCTAGCCGGGACACGACACACATTTTATTTCCTCACAGCACCTCAGTCACAAGAGCAACTGGATTTTAAAGGTTGTGGACCACTGGCTAAGCAAACCAGAGCTCTCTAGGGTCTAGACAGCATGCAAACGTGGGTGGACCTTGTGCCAAAAGACCACTTGTGCCATCTCTGTGCACAGTGTGGACAATAGTGAGAGAAAAACAGGTGTGTACATTAGAGCAGGTCTAGCATTTTATAGTTTATAAAGCCCTGTCATGTGCGTTGTGCTCCTCCATCCTGGACAAGGATAGAGTGAGTGTTTCCCGCTTGAATAACCCACAGGGCCTCATAACCTGCCCACGGATGGAGAGGTTGGGGCTGGAGTCCGAGGCAGGGAGGGCAGTGGGCTCAGGCATACAGACCCGAGAGCTCAGTAATTTTCCCAAGGCCACACCCATAGGTAGAGGCCATGTCGGGACTTGAACATGGCTCTTCTGACTTGAGACTCCATTTATTTCCAGCACAAGACACCTCGAAGTACAACCGGGACGCACCCGGAGCACTTGTCTTTAGCATTCTTTAACTCTGAGCTCTTCACGTCACCCTCTCTCACCCGTCCTGGCAAGTAACGCAGAGGAGTACAAAGTAGGTTTCCAGCCGAATGACCTCCACCCGCTAGGTGAGATGAGTGGGCAAGAGCCACTTGCCTGGGTAAAGGGAACAGAAGGAGAGGGGGCCAGGTCTGCTTTCTGCACTGTCCCTGACGTATGTGCATCTCCACCCACTGCAGACCCTTAGAGCTTGCGAGGCACAAAGATATCCGTTTCTAGGGGCGTCCCCTGTCTCTGCTGCCGCTCCACAGCAGAAGCCGGCTAAGCTAACTTGCTGACGCAGTCCAAGTCACTGTGAAGTCACCATGAAGCAGGAAGCGAGAGAGTGGACCTCTTCAAAGGTCACTCGGTCATTTCTGACCGGCCAGGTTAATATGAGTCACGAGGATCAAGGACGTGTGTAGTCACGTCTTACATTAGACCAGGGTACGGCTTACAAAATGCTTTCCCATCCCAAGCCATCTCACCTGGACCCTGCAGTGATACTGTGGTTGGATATTCCTATCATCAGCAGCAGCGCTCATGAGTGCTTACTCTGGAGGGGACTGAGGCGGAAAGGTATCACATGATCACGCAGCTAGGAAATATCCGGTGAGAAACAGTTTTTAGACCCTGAGTCCAGGACTCCTTGGGGCAGCTCCTTGGACAGAGAGCACAGGTGCCCTGGTCTGAACATCTGTCGCGTTCTATTTATCATTAACCAACCTCGAGGCTGCCCGACTCATTCAGGCTCTGCTGTACACTCTTTCTTCTGTTTCTTTTTTCACACTATTTTCCATTAAACTGGCTGGAACCATCTCAGCCTAAACCACTCCTGCCCTGCATGTCCTCCATACATCCTTCTTCCTTGCCTTCCTTGGAAACTTCTCAAACCCTAACTCCTGCTCCCTGGTTGGTGCCTCTCATTCAGAAAAACCAACACATTTGCCTGGCCATGAGCCCCCACAAAGCACAGGAAAGCAGTGAAGGCAGAAATGGCACAGGGGGCCAAGTGTTCTTGACCTTTTCCAGGTATTCTCGCGGTGTTTTCAAGGTTGTTCTTCAATCTCACCCACTGCCATCAATGCTGGCACAGAATTTTCCTTCAACACATTACCCTTATTGGTGCTTTCAGGACCAACGACTCCCTGAGCCTGGTGAGCCAGGCTCCGGGGATATGAGAGGGGCCCTCCCTGTGCCAACAGCAGCGTGACCATGCAAGGACATGATGTGCCTTACTGTGAACCCCAGAGCACAGGCAGGAAGGCTGGACTGGGGAAGCCCTCTCAGCTGGGGTTGGTGTTTGCCCTGCTCTGGCAGCTGACTGAGCCTTCACCTTTCCCAGTTATCTTCCAGAAAACCAGTTTTGTTTTGTTTTTTTTAATACTCAGGAAA